TTCATCAAAACGGGAACAAATTAACCAGATCATGACAATTATAAAAAACAGATGTATAAAAATGTCAGTCAGAAAGGACTACTGTGCTGTGCCTGATTAAAAATGAGCAATAATTAAAAGGTAATTCACATAAGTTAAAGCGTAGTAAATTGGTGTTTTTCAGTTCACATTCTAAGATGGTTTCAACCCAAATTTGATCTGCCTTGGTTGCAATTACTGTAGGTACTTGAAAAAATATTTTCTAACATGACATGTTGTAGCTGCTCCAAGGTCTAATAACCAAAAACTTCAGACAGATGAGTAATCAAAAAATATAACAGGAATTTACAGTATGTTTATCTTTTTTATGTTGTCTTATGTTGTTCTTGATCAAACATATCATTTTGCCTCTGCTGCCTACAGTACTGAAACGGAGAATATTAAATACTCATTACTGATTAAAGTTTAATTAGGCTTCAGTAATACCCTTGATGTAAATACTGAAGGTAACCTCACCTTAGAAAGGGACAGACAGCAGTACCAGATACACACACACTCACACACACTCACTGCAGAAAAAGAAACGGTAATGACAGGAACATAGAAAAAAGTAAAATAAAAATGGTTTTACAACATAATTATAACTCAGGCAGCCATAAGTGCACATTCTTTATGCACTACTGAGAACATGTACACCAAAATCCTAAATATATACATTCCTGGAGTTTATATAGCACTTTCAATCCTAAAAGGACAAAAAAGCATTTCTGAGTGTTTCACATAGTGTACACAGTAAGATGAGACCCACTCCATCCTCCCCCGAGATACAGCACCCCTACGATTGACACCCTGCTGCCATTAGGAACCAGCAGTCCCATCACACAGCAGATCAAGTGGGAAACTTGTTTCACCACTTGAATTAAGGAGAAACTATAGAAAGGCCCAACTGTACAAGCTAAGAGTGGAGTTCATTCAAAAAAAGGTTCACACCTCTACCTTTCTGTACAGTGCCCTATGACACTCATTACACTGGAGTAAGATTTCAGCTCCTACTACACAGTGTCCTCTGTCCCCATACTTGGGCAGCGATTTAGGAAATTCTGGTCCCGATGTTAGAGTGCCTCCTACTGGTCAACCAACACCACTAGAAACAATAACCTGGTCTTTCCTGGGGGGTTTCCAAGCACAGGACTGACCTGGCTTAGCAGTACCTATCTTCTGATCTGATCTGAGATCAAGCTGAAAGAAGTTAACAGTGCTAGTCAAGTCAGCATCTACAGACAACAGTTCTGGCCTTATTATTGCTTATCATGGCAGCACAGACACACTGGAAAGACACCAGCTACCAGTAACATTGGAAATGCATCAGTGTCTTTAACACATCCTCTTTAATTGTAAACACCCTGCAAATGTGTTTACCTTTTACACAGAGTTAGGATATCTTTGTCTTTTCCACTCATTAAAAATCAGGGTTCAGAAATTACACGGAGGGTGCTACTGGCTTGAGCTAAACAACATTCAGGAAGAGACAAGGAGAAAGACAACGACTGAATAATAGGCTCATCAGAAACTATTGCACTGAAATGACGGAAGAAATGCAGTGATTACTTTTAAAAGTGGCGTGTGCTAGAAAACCCAACACCTAATTTACCAAACTTCAGACAACCATGAGCCACACAAGATCGGGCTTAAATAGTTAATAAACTAAGCTTAATTTTAGCACTGGAAGACAACAGGCCACAAAGTAACAATAGTACACTAAAATTGCTATATCCCTACTATTTTTTTCTCAGTAATTCAAACAAATCTAACAGTGAAATACAGGCCTACTTTACAAGACAAAAATGGCTTGTTGACAAATGATCTTTTAGGTTTCTACATTTCAAATCAAATACATCCACAACGTACCTACTAGTCTTAGTTCATAAAAGAGTTGGCATGCCACATGGTATTTTGTTGCAATTATTTCAAGCAGCATTTTTTTTTTTAATAGTGTGGACGTACTGTATTGTTCAAGCAAGTTTCAGGATTGATCAGCGTTTCAATAATTTTACTTCGTTATGAGGCATTAAAAGTCTTTGGTTGCTGCGATCTACAGTTCAAAACAACCTGCACCCCAGAGCAACTTTCAAAACAAAAAGGGAATAAAACATATGATCTCTTAAAGAAACTGATCAGGTGGTTATGATCCGGTCTCTTCTTTATTTAGAAATGAATAACTCTTGTTTTGTAATTTCCATTTAGCCCAGTTACAGTACACAATGGCTATTTCAATGCCAAAGGATGTGAAGAGACCACTTTAAAAACTGTCATGGCTTTTGGAAGGCTTGTACTTAAACATTCTAGTCTGGTTCCAGTCAGTAAACTGTGTCTGTTTGAAAAGCAAAGATTGTTTTCCTTTCTCATGGTCTAGGGTGTTAGATTCCACCAAATTTCAGATCCCCAGCCTACACCACTGTCCTCGGGAAACAGAAAGTCACTTCATTTGCCAGCTCACTCTGAATTTCCTAGGAGGAATTCCCGAACTGTTGACTTCTCAGCTTGTTTCTTACTAAAATCCCGAGCTTGTGCCAGACTGAAAGATGACAGATTATATGGTGAGCACTCAGGCTACAGTAACTCTTATTAGGCTTTCTGGACTTACTGTAAGTAGTTGGATTGCATTCTGCACGATAAATGAAGGAATGCATAACCTACCAGGTTTATCCACTGATACACTATGGTTAGAATGGGAGTTAATCTGGTTAATATGATAAAAACTAAAGTCACAAGGAATTAAAGTGCAAAAAAAAAACAAGTAATAGGTTTATTTCATGCTGAAAGAGAAGAAAAGAAACAACGTTTCGGCTGTGGAGCCTTCTTCAGGTGTGAGCACGCTGTGTTTTCTTTCTTCTGTTTTCAGCATGGAATAAACCTGTTACTCGTTCCTCTGCAGCCTACACATGCTGACGCAGCTCCCCACCAAGAATAAAACTGGCCTTAGATGGTTCATTTTAGGTCATAGGACCTTAGATTGCCCATCTTGTTGGCACTACGTGACCTGTCTTGTAGCAGATTCTAACAAAGACAAAATTACATGCCAGGAAGCAGGCTGCTTTTCTCACACAGCAAGTTCAAAACAATAATGAGTGATCTCGTTATATTACAGCTATAACCAGATTTCAAACATACAGGCACTTAGGTATATGATCCTGTGCCTTAGTTTCACTTTCAAAATTGAGTTATGGCTTCCTTTAGATTAATTATTTCCTACCTCTGGACTTCAGAGTTCAGAATCTGGTAGGATTTCCGTTTGTTGAAATCGCCAGCAGTTGAAGGCTCTGGTGAAGAGACGGCCTGATCCAGTTAAATCTTAACTGGTTTAACTGGCGAAAAACTAATCCAGGTGAAGAGCTGTTTAGAGCTCAAGGGGATCTGTGGGAGTCAGGACCACGAGGACCGGATCGCAGTTTCCCTACCTCAGATAAAAAAAAGAAGCAATGGAAGTATTTCGATGAAAGTGATCATACGCTCTGTAAAACCTGTATCGCCTCTCTAGGCCAACGGACAGCTGTGTGCGTAGATTGTCAGTGTGGCACTGCCCTAGCCTGACAGGCCTGCGTTTTAACATTCTCCCAACCCCCGGGTGTGGTGTATGGGAAAAAAAGTGGTGGGGGCACCAGCCACAGAGCAGGGCAGTATGGAAGTCCACCCCTACATCTCTCTGAGGAATGGGCAACAGGTTTAAACACTGCAGAGTCTTGTGCTGATATTCAGGCTTGTTTACCTGTCACCCCAGGTAATTCGACATCGGAGACACCCAAAATAACCTTTAAGCCAAAAAATGCTATTTTCTAGCATAACTTCTTGAGAATTCCTTCCAACCAATGATAGTAAATGAGGGGGTGGGGGGGACTATATATATATATGTGATGTTGTTTAATAGGGTTTTGGACATGTAACTTTAAAATAACAACATTCTGACTGCATCACAACAAAATGATCAAGAGGCCTCGCATCACATCCACAAGCCCTGGTCCAATCTCGGCGCCTGTGTGTGTCGCACCAGACTGTCAGCCACTGCCGTGGAGGTACTACAGAAGGGTACACGGAGCTCACACCGCCGACGGGATGAAACCCCACATCCACCCCACCCCCCCAAGATCACTGACAACCGGCTCCGGTCCGGGTCTAACGAATTCATTGAGCTGCGATGCACGAAGCACGGAGTATAAATGTTTCGGGAGCGTAAAGCACAGGATTTTCTCCAGCCTGAGTCGCTTTCCCCTCGCCTGCGTTTTATTTGCAAAGCCTGCACAAAGACCCCCCCCCCAAAAAAAAAAAAACAACCAACAGCCAGGGATTAATCAAAGAGGCGCAGCGTACGTCTAGTGGAAAATGAGCAGCAAATAACAAAAGCGGATGCAATCGGACACACACGCACAAGCGCCTTTTCCGTGCAGACCTGCCAATACTGCTGCTACCTCTCCTGACAGCGGCTTCACCAGTCTCCCTTCCCCCCACTGCTGTGGGGAACTGAACCCCATCACACAGCTTCTAACGCAAGGGACAGCCGGTTGATAACAAAACGACACATTCGCCAGGATGTGTGGTGCGTGTGTGTGTGTGTGCGTCCGTGCAACATTGCGCACCGGGAAATCCTGTTGCGTTTATTTATGGGGTTTCAGATTTGGTTTGTTGTTGGGTTTGTTTGTGTTTTTTTTTTTTCTTGTATGTGTGTGGGTGGGTGTGCGTTTGTTTAGCGTCACAGCTGGGTTAAGCAACATAAACAGGCGTCCGCGAAAGTACTGCCGATCCCGAACCCCCCCACTCCCACCCCTGACAGATGTTACGATGAACACGCAGCGGTGGCACCGGAGACGGCAGGGGTCCTCCTGCCTGGACACAGCCAAACAGGAGCCCAGCGGCCAGCGGACGCGCTGACAGCCGCCCCTCGCCTCGCCACCGCCGGCCCCGCAACACATGCGGGTCCGGCCGGGGTCCCCCCTCCCGTCTCCCAACCGGGGTGCACGGCAGCCTACCTCAAATCTGCCCTTGGTGATGCCGTTCATGTCAGCAGGCGAGCGGTCTGTTGTAGCGCCAGCACCAGCCTGCCACCAGCGCCAGCAGCCCGTGGCAGCGCCGTTCAACTGGGGGGTGATCTTATTTTACGGGGCTGCAATCGGAGGCACCCAGCCCCGGACGCGCACGCCAGCGGTACCCTCTCTCCCTGTTGCCCCCCCCGATCGCCTCTTGCTCGTCTCCGCCGGGGGCAGCTCTCTCTGTCTCCCCGGGCTGGCAAAGCGGCGACTGCTGCTGCTGCTGCTACAGGGCTCGGAGAAATCCGTACTCTCCCGACCGTACCATCACACAGCCACAATAAAAATAATAACATGGAGGAGACGTCCTGCCTCTCTGACCTCACTTCCGCTTACTCTCCTAAGCCGATCACAAGACTATTGTGTGAGACGCCCAGCTCCCCTTTTCTCTCCGCCGCGTCCCACAATACTGTCGGGTGAAACACAAGGAGAGGCTCCCCGGGTGGTACCTGCTGTGCCCGACGCCGCCCGCTGGTTTTTAGGTACCAGGGGTGCTTTCGCAGGCACTGTGCCGGAGGAGAGGAGAGGAGGGGAGGGGTGTGGTGACGTCATTTCTGCGGGAAAAACACGCGTGGCCGCTTTGTTTTGGTTGTGAGCGGGGCCGGACCGGGGGTCTCCGCTGCCCTCTTTGCGGCTAACGAGTGACCGCCGGACGCCGCCCCGGGGCACTGGACGCCGGTGTCGGTGACCAGCCCGTCCTCCCCTACCTACCCCACCCCACCTCGCCTCGCCTCCTAGCTCTCCTCCACTCTAGACCGCGTCTTATCTCCGTCGGAAGCAACGCTTGATGGCGCCCCCGGTCCAGTTTATAGGCTGCTCAATCCCTACAGGAGCCGAAAAGCCGTGCCCTGTGGGTGTGTTTAGCTTTTTTGTTCAGTCTGAAATGTTTAGCACGTAGGAGTAGAAATGTAAAAGAACTACCGTGTGTTCCAAAATGACATTATACCTTCTGCTAATTTGCGAGATCCCGTTTTCTTTTTTAAAATATTTTTTTTTTTCAGAATGTGGAGCCGTCAGCTAGTCAGCTGTGATGGAGGGGTGCTGTTCTGTATTTGTCCTAAAGCAAGGCCCGCACTTTAAAGTTTGCCAAGTATTTCGCCCGAATGTTAACGTTTTTGTTGCCGTCATGGTGAAAAGCCTACAGCTGTATTTCTGCAAGCGTGCAATGCAAGTGATTAACCTGCCGGGATTGTGGTATAAATACTAGAAAATAGAAACCGCCGGATGAAAAGTAGTTTTAAATTGCCTAAACACGTTTTCCACATTTTAAGCAAATATTGAAATGCTTTCTGACAACATTTCGGTATTTTTTTTGTGTGTGTGGGGGTTTTGTTCAAACATCCGTGTCAAAAGCACCCCTTCACATACTGTAAAGATGGCCTAAGTGGCTTTAAAAAGCAGACATTTTCACATCAAAATACTTCGAGCCAAATGAGCCTGTTTGAAACAGTTTTCTCCTTTTAAGTGGATAGTGACAAGGGGATACAGTATGTGTGACCGCTATTAACTATTCACCAGGATCTGAAATACACCCCTACAAAACCAATATTAGTCCAGTTAAAACTCTCATTTAAAATTGAATTGAACACCCCGTAGTTCCATATAATGGGGAAAAAAGAAACCCCTGCTGTCTGCATCTGTCCGAATGGCACAGATTGCTTTTGGTTAAGAACTGCAACAAAAACAGCCAATGTTAGAAATGCCTCTTGTCCCCGTGTTGAAAACACGGCATGATCACCCATGGCGAGCTCTAATATACAGTATATCCCTCTCAGGCTGACGCACAGGCATTGACTGCTCCTTATTAAGTAATGGGTTTAACTGTGAGATGGTCACACTAGTCTAACATTCTTGCAAAAGTAGCTCTTGAAAATCCAAATCTTAGTCTAGGTTTTGAAACTGTTTTGAGCTGCATTGTCAAATTCCAAGAACTTTTCTTTCATTTTCTCTTCGTGATCTTACCAGTGAAAATGCCATAAAAAGTTTAGCTCATTTTTGGGGAGGGCCATGTCAAGAACAGGCAGCAAGTAGTCGCAATATAAAACCAGTAACAGAGAAGATAACATAATTTTTAATGAGAACTGAAAGTAACACCAGAAGACCTATTAAGAGTCATACATCCAGAAATGAAAGAGAAATATCTAGTCAGAGAAATACTCAAATTACACTGATGTTTTTAACTTCCAAACAAATGAAAACAACAAAATGGTGGGGTTCATTTTCTCTACCTGAGCTGTTCCATGTTGTGTAGTAATGCAATGTTCTTGTATTTCAGTCTATTGAAAGTTAATCTTGGGCCGACACTTTTGACATTATAATAAATACTTTTTTTAAAGGGGATGCCAACTGTGAAGAAAGGGATTTCAAAAACTGTTTTGAAAAAATCCTTGAAGAATGTTGCCTATTATTTTGTTACACGGAGAACATTAAAAAGTTCTGTTGGATATGAAAGTTGAGAACACCACACTCATTAGTTACTGATTATGATTAAAACAACAGTGGCATAGATAATAAAGCTTTCAATTAGTAAAATGGCTTCAGTCTAAAGTCTCGTAATTTTTGTTCTCCCTCTGATAAAGTTACATCCAGCTGGCTTTCAGTGTGCTTTCTGCTTTATATGGTGTTTCATGGTGCTTGTGTTTCCAAAAAAAGTCTCCCACATTTAATTTGCACGGGACAGAACTAAAATCCAAGAATAACCCAAAGGAAAAAAAAAATTCTCCAAACCGCACATCTACTTTTATGTTTTCCAGCTTCTGTGAGTATATAACCCCAGTCGCACAAAGCAGCCAGTTTTAAAAACTCATTACATTCTGCTTTGTGGTTTCATTAATTTTTACATCATTCTATTATACGTGATTTTTGAACCACTAACTCTTCTTGCCAAGGCTTTTGTACAGCTTTTTAAAAGACTGCTAGGAACTACTTGAAAACAACAACAACAGCAAGCACATTTCTGCTGTCAGAAGCATTTGTTGGGTACACCGTTTATATTAAAAACGTTTCTGAGAGAAAAGAAAATCAACAGGTGTCAGCTATAGGATATTTCTTTGCATAAGAAATGGTCGGTTTCTTTTATTGTATTAAATCTAAAAAATAATCCATATTCTGGCAACAGAAAGCATTTTGGGTCCGAGCACACAATGCATGTCCCATTGAGAAATTGGGATTCCTTTTCTGAGTTTAGAAGACAACATCCTCGGCATGGGTCTTTAGCCCTCTGGACCTCTGGAGTAAAACCTTGCAATGTGACTCCTCTGCCTGTCTGTTAAGCATCAAGGAGTTGTCCTGGTGTGATTCTGTGGCAGAACACCTGCTTTCCTGCCCTTTTCTAGCTAATTAGCTGGAGTGCCAACCTAACTGTTGTTGAAGGTAGACAATGAAGCCAGGTGCCTAAGATACGTGTTGGAGAAAAATATCATTTATTAAGGGAGGAGCCCATGTCACATTTTGCCCTGATATGGTTCATTCTTTTTCAGCCAAACTGCTATTTTTGCTCTTAATTTTTGAAAAGTGTTTTTGGGAACATGTTCATTGTGGCAAAAATGAGCAAGTCCCCACATAAATTGTGTGTTTAAAAAAACAGAGAATCTCAATAAACAGAATAAGATAAAGGATATAAAAAATCCTTTCAAAAGTTAAATTTAGAAGTGTGTCATTTTACTTTCCAAATGACAATTCTCACAACATCTGCCCAGATTTTAAACTACATTTGTCACAGCAGCTGCTGTTTTAGTTTTTGCCACAGTAATCATCATTGTACAGTACATTAGAGCTTTGATACTGGAAACAATATTCATACAATAAGCACTCCTACATGAAGAAGTGAATATGGCTGAAGACGTTAGGTAAAGTGGAATAAAGTAATGTACAGTATAAAAGGAGGATGGTCTACAACAATCTAAAGTAAATTCTGTCCTGCTTTCATGGTTTAGTAAGAGAGAGAGACTGCTTCTGTTAAGCACCATGAATGTGTCTCATTCCACTGAAAAATGAAACATTGCCAAGAAATGTATACAATAATTGTGTTCCACTTTGACTTTAGGCTTTCTGTTGCTAGGCTCAGTGCCTTGCATGTGCTCTGTCTTTAGTGTATTTATTCAAATCGTAGCAGGTTAGAAATTAGAAACTGTCTTGTTGATTGCAGAAAGGAGAAAGTTAAATACCTTTGACCTCAACACTCTGGATAAATGTAATCAATGGAATGTTAAAACAGTCCTTAACTTCTTTAAAAAAAAATATGAATACCAATATTATTATATTAATTTGACATTTTCTGGAAGGGAGCACCATGTTCATCTTAATATGAATAAATTAACTTTCTTAAGGTATAATTCCAAATGAGTAACAGGTGACACCCTCTCTGTATCGAGATCTTATACTGATGATGTCCCTGCCTTAAGTTGTCAGTCCCCTGTGTCAGAGGACCAGCCTTGAAGTGTAATGAGTGTGACACTCATGTGGGCTGTGTGGCTGAGGAGTTCAGAGGTGAAACGCCGGGTCGATTTCTAGTGTTTAATTTCTGCAATGGCAAAAATAGCTAACAAGTAGATCAAGAGCCTTGCATCAGTGGGAACCCAGACCGAATGTCACATCACAATGACACAGTGCCACAGAACAAATGTCCTACATGTTTCAAAGGGCCTCTTTCAAAGATTTACCTTGTGATCAGGAGTTTGAGAGGTTAAAAAAATCATATTTTTTCTCGTTGCCTAGGAAGGGGCGATTTCGAGCCAACCAGCCAAGATGTGAGGTGTGAGCAGAAGCGTGTAAAAATATGTCAAACTAAAATATTTTTGTTTTCTCTCTCCTAAAAAAACCCCCGGACAATATATGAAATGAAACTGCAACACTGTATATTAAGTAAGAAAACGAACAAAAAAGTGCTTTAAAATATACTCTTAGTTATTTAATACCATCCCTGGTTACACTAACTTACATATTTATAAGAGTTAATGCTATCCTTGGAAAGAAAGCTAACACACAGTCTCCAATGAGGTTCCATATAGGGGTGAAGCATTGTGCCCAAAACTGTCATCTGTCTCCCTCTACAGCCATGTTAAGCTAAAGCAAATATTATTGTAAGCTAACAATACTCAGACATACGTAGTCTCTGCCAGTGCCTCACCAGCATGGAGACTGATCACCCAACCCCATTGGCTCTGGGTGTGCTTTGTACAAATGAACACAGGGCTGGAGGCATGGTCAGGGGTCCAGGCCAAGTCACTGCGTATTTCATTAGAGTGGCGGGGCAAGACATTCCCACAGCATTGCAACTGGGGGGACACATCCTGGGATTCGGATTCTAAAACACAGGCAAAAGCTTGACCGCGGCTTAACAGGGCTGCAGCCCTGGCAATGTCTGAGATTTGATTCCGATTAATGTACATAAGTTAACATATTCAGCCCAAGATGGTATATTTCATGAGTCTGACCAGTAAGCAGGGTATTATTTATAAACAGACTGTTACTTCATGTGCGCAAGGTCACAGGTTTGTGTAACAGGTTTCTTAGCAAGAGATGAAACTATTACAGAAATATCCCTTGCTTGCACTCTCAGGAGCTTTTAAACTCTCTGCAGTATAAGACTTTAGTTGGAGGCCCACCAGAGGCAGGGATTTGAATCCACTGTGTATGTTATGCAAACACCTCAAAAGTAATACCCTTCTGTGCTTCACAATAAAATTTTCAGCTGTACTGTGTATTGCAAGAAAGCCAGCTTATGTTGTCTTGCTCTCAAGTGCCTAATGGCAGAATTCCAGACTTGGT